CAGGTCTAGCCACACAGGTTTCCTCACTGTTCCTTGTGTATGCAAAGCGTGTTCCTACCTCAGGGCCTTTGCATTCACTGTTCCCCCTCCTCACATTCTTCTTCTAAATCTTCTTCCTCATAAGGTCTCTTCCAATACCACCTCAGACAGGCCTCCCCCAGACACCTCATATAAAGTATGCTTCTCACCATTTTATCCATTCGCTCCGCTTTACTTTTCTTCATAGCACTTATTGTTACCAAACATTATATGGCATATGTTTTTTTCTCTTAGTTTTGCATTCTTTTTTTTAATTTTTATTTATTTATGATAGTGACAGAGAGAGAGAGAGAGAGAGAGGCAGAGACGCAGGCAGAGGGAGAAGCAGGCTCCATGCAGGGAGCCCGATGTGGGACTCGATCCAGGGTCTCCAGGATCATGCCCTGGGCCAAAGGCAGCGCTAAACCTCTGAGCCACCCGGGCTGCCCTCAAAACTTTTTTTCAAAGATTTTATTTTTTTATTCATGAGAGACACAGAGAAAGAGGCAGAGACATAGGCAGAAGCAGGGAGAAGCAGGCCCCCCGCAGAGAGCCCAATGTAGGACTTGATCTCAGGGCCTCGGGACCATGACCTGAGCCAAAGGCAGATGCTCAACCACTGAGCCACCCAGGCGTCCCAAATTTCAAAACTTTTGGTTTTGAAATAGTTTCAGACACACAGAAAAGTTGCAAAAATAGTAAGGTAATTCCCATATACCCTTCACCAATAGTCTCTGTATGTGACCATTTTAGCACATTTCCCGTATCATTCTCTCTCTGAATAATAAATTTATTTTTGAGCAGATAATGTATAAAAAAGGTACAAAAAAAGCCGTGGAATATAAATTTCCCTCCTTCTCTCCAGCCAACTGCTACCAGTTTCCCATCTGTCCTGTCAGAAATATTTGGTGCATTTACAGCCATATATGAAAGCACATGTATTTATAGAGCATAAATTTTATCCACACACTTTTTTCTTCATGCACAACATACTGGACTCACTGTTTTGTACCTAGCTTTTTTTTTTTTATAAGATTTTATTTATTTGTTTAAGAGAGAGAATGAGTGGGAGGAGAGGCAGAGGGAAAGAATCTCAAGCAGATTCCCCACCAAGCGCGGACCCGTTGTACCCTATTCTGTGGCCCATGAGATCATGACCTAAACCGAAACCAAGAGACTGATGCTTGACTGAGCAAGCCAGCCAGGCGCCCCTGAACCTTGCTTTTTAAATTCAACAATATATTTTGAAGATCTTCACACCCGTCTACCTGTATCTTTCTCCTCATTTTCTTCACAACCACAGGGTGGGTCCTATATGGGCATATTTGAGCTTCTTTAACCAGGTCCCCATTGATGGAAATTTCAATTGTTTCCAGTCTTTTGCTTCTATCGACAATGCTGTAATGAAATCCTGTCGTATCGTCATTTGGGGCATCACCTACAGGACAAATGACTAGCAGTGAAATTGCTGAGTAAAAAGCTCTTTCCTTTTTAATGTTGAACATTGCTTTTTCAGGAAAACTGTACCAATTCATGTTCTTACAACATGTGAAAATGTTTTCCTACATCCTTTACAACACACCACACCATCAATAATTTTTTGTTCTAACAGTTGGAAAACTTAAAAATATCACATTGTAGTTTTTTATTGCCTTTATTATAAATGATAAAACTTTTTCACATGTTGAAAAGCCATTGATACTTTTTTCCCATGAGCCACCTATTTATATAGTGCCAATTTTTCTAATGCATTGTTGCTTTTTCATTGATCTATGAGGAACTCATGATCTATGGAGGAAATGAACTTGTTTTCTGTGATATGAGAATATTTTTCACCGTTTGCCTTTTGGCTTGTCCCTGGTGACCTTTTTTGTCACTCAGTTGCTTATTTTTTATTTATTTTTAAAGATTTATTTATTTGAGAGAGAAAGCACGAGTGGGAGGGGCATAACAGAAGGAGAGACTCTCAAGCAGATTCTACACTGAGCACAGAGTCAGATGTGAGGCTTGATTCCACGACCATGAGATCATGACCTGAGCTGAAACCAATATTTTTTTAAAGATTTTATTTATTTATTCATGAGAGACACACACACACAGAGGCATAGACACAGGCAGAGCGAGAAGCAGGCTCCATGCAGGGAGCCTGATGAGGGACTAGATCCTGGGTCTCCAGGATCACGCCCTGGGCTGAAGGCGGTGCCAAACCACTGATCCACCAGGGCTGCCCTGAAACCAAGAGTTGATGCTTAACCGACTGTGCCACCTGGGAGGATCTTCAGTCATTTATTTTTTATTTGGAAACTTCTATATAGTTGAATGTGTCAATTTTTTCTTTTATGGCTTCTAATGTTTTGTAATAAGCCTGAAATGGCTTACTTGCTCCAAGATTATTTTAAAAACTGTCCTGGGGCACTTGGGTGGCTCAGTTGGTTAAGCAGCTGCCTTCAGCTCAGGTCATGATCCCAGGGTCTTGGGATCGAGCCCGGCATTGGGCATTCTGATTAGCAGAGAAGAAAGAGCCTGCTTCTGCCTGCCTGTCTGTCCACTTACTTGTGCTCTCTCTCTGTCAAATAAATAAATAAAATCTTTTTTTAAGAGATTTTATTTGGGAAGCCTGCGTGGCTCAGCGGTTTAGCACTACTTTGGCTGGGGCATGATCCTGGAGATGCAGGATAGAGTCCCATGTCAGGCTCCCTGCAGGGAGCCTGCTTCTCCCTCTGCCTCTCTCTCTCTCTCTCTGTGTCTCTCACGAATAAATCAAAAAGATTTTATTGATTTATTCGTGAGAGACACACAGAGAGAGACAGAGGCACAGGCAGAAGGAGAAGCAGGCTCCCTGCAGGGAGCCCGATGTGGGACTCGATTCCAGATCCCAGGATCATGCCTTGAGCCAAAGGCAGACAGACATTACTGCTGAGCCACTCAGGTGTCCCATAAATAAAATCTAAAAAAATTTTTTTTTAATTAAAATAAAAAACTATCCTATGATTTCTTAAAAAAAAAAAAAAAGATTTATTTACTTACTTGGAGAGAGAGAAGAGACAGGAAGGACCAGATGGAGAAAGAGAGATCTCCAGCAGACTCCCCACTGAGTGTGGAGCAGGATTCAGGACTTGACCTCACCACCCTGAGATCGTGATCTGCCCCAAAACTATGAGTCAGATATTGAGCTGACTGAGCCACCCAGGTACTCCTATCCCATGATTTCTTTCTGCCTTTCATTTTCTTTTTTTAAGATTAATTGATTGGTTGGTTGGTTTTTTAGAGAGAGAGCATGCACATAAGCAGGGGAGGAGGAGAAGAGAGGGAGGAGGAGGAGAAAAGCAGATTCTCTGCTGAGCGAGGAGCCGGGATGCGGGGCTTAGCTGAATGAGCAGAAATCAAGAGTCCCAAGTATCCTGCTGAGCCACCCAGGCACCCCATCTCATGATTTCTTACAGCATTTGTTCTAACATACACAAGAGTGTAAAGAGACTAGAATGAGTGGACAGTAACTTCACTAACTTCAACAGTAAGCAGAACAGGGCCAGGACTTTATTTCACGTGCTCCACCTGTTCCCCCACCCTTCCATTATTGTGAAACAAATCCTAAACTTATAACTTTATGATCTTTTAATGTTGAAACTTCTGATCCATCTGGAATTATTTTATTTTATTATTTTAAAAAAGACTTCATTTATTTAATTTAAAAATACATTATTTATTTATTTATTTATTTATTTATTTATTTATTTATTTATTTATTTTAGAGAGAGAGCATGCACATGAGTGGGGAGTTCAGAGGGAGAGGGAGAGAAAGACTCTTAAGCAGGTTCCATGCTCAACACAGAGCCCGATAAGAGGCTGGATCTTACAACCCCTGAGATCATGACCTGAGCCAAAATCAAGAGCTGGACACTAAACTGACTGAGCCACCCAGGCACCCGGGATTTTATTTATTTTTAAGCAATCTCTACACCCAATGTGGGACTCGAAATTACAACCCCAAGATCAAGAGTTGCATTCTCTTCTGACTGAGCCAGCGAGGCGCCCTCATCTGGAATTATTTTAGAGTTAGAGCTCCAGCTTCACTTTTGCAGATAGCTAGCTCATTTTTCAAATCGTTTATTGAATAAGCCATCTTTTATCTACTGATTTAAAATGCCACTTTTATTTATTTTTTAAAAAATATTTTATTTATTTATTCATGAGAGACAGAGAGAGAGAGCGAGAGAGGCAGAGACACAGGGAGAGGGAGAAGCAGGCTCCATGCAGGGAGCCCGACATGGGACTCGATCCCAGGTCTCCAGGATCCCGCCCTGGGCTGAAGGCAGCGCTAAACGACTGAGCCACCCAGGCTGCCCTGTAAAATGCCACTTTTAATATACATTAAATTCCCATATGTACTTGAGTCTGTTCCTGTCAATTCTATTCCATTAATTCATCCCTGTATATTCATGCACTGGTATCACACTCTTTTTGGTTGTAGCCCTACAGTGTATTTTAGTATTAAGTTAGACTATTTATCTAAAAGAAAATTTAGATGAAGGCCTCCCCTGATATTCCTTACCACCTGAGGGTGAGAACCTGAGGGAGGGCACGGTGTGCAGTTACTCCAGGATGGTTCATACACCCAGCTTTAGCCACAACTGTGCCCATCAACACTCTGGTTGGGACAAGGCATAGCAACATGCTGGCAACCCGAGACTCAGTTCCAGGTTCTGGCCTTGCCACTGAGAGCTGGGTGATCTTGAGCAACCCGTCTTCCCCTTCAGAGCTTCTGCTTAGAAGGACCTCCCTCTCATTCCCAGCACTCTCTAATTCTACGATTTTAGGGTGAGAGACCTGAGGAGGACCAGGCAAGATGATGAAAGGACAACCAGTGCTTGCTTCTACAGGAAGTCCCATAGATAACACAGGAGATTGGCTCGCTGGGGAACGGAAAGAGCGATTAAGCAAGAGACAAGACTGTTAACAGTGCCAGAACTCGTGGGCTCCTGGGGGCAGCGGTTGCCTCAGCGCCAGGTCCAGGAGGCCAGGACTGTGTGCACGACTGGGAGCCTTTGAGAGGTGGGAGCCACCTGGAGTCACAATGCTCTTTTTCTTTGGAGGGGTTGGGGTTGGGAGAAGGAGCAGTGGTCCCATTTGGCTCCAAGGACGCAAAGATCTGAGCCCTTTTTTCTCAAGAATTTGGAGCTCTCTGCATGGTCCAGTGAGGGTGCTGGGGCAGGGGGCTGGGATAGATTGCCTACCGTAAGTGGCCGTGTGATTTTGGGCAAGTCACCTGTTTTCTCAGGTGCCTGGTTTCTCTCTTCGAGTCTGTGAGAGGAAGAGAGAGGTAAGTAGACTAGAGCAAGGCACTAGGTAGTCTCTCAGACCCACCAACTTACAATTTGGGTTCTGTGACCATCACTATTACTGGTAGTTATTGAATGACGTGAATGGAGTGAGGAGAAGACCCAGTTCTTTGCCCGTTTGGTGAAAGAATGAAGGAATTGGGGGAAGCCCTAGGGTAGCTGTTCCCTACCCTGTTTTTCTTATAAGGCTCTCCACTCCCTGACCCAAAGCCTATAGTGTCTGTTCCCCTAACCCAATGGCACAGTGGGGAGCTGATTCCTGTAGTTGCCTGGGAGCAAGATCCATTTGTTCTCAACTTTGGCTTCCAACTTTGTCTGGTTTCTCAGGTGAGGAATGTGGGGGAGAGAGGGGAGTGCTGAGGGTGCCAATGTGTGTTCCTGGTCACCAGGGGCTTCTAACGGTTTAGGGTATAAAGTAGGGATGATCCAGAGAGGGGAATGTGGCAGAGGATGGAGGAGTGCCCCTGCAGGCTGACTGTGAGGGGTGTTGTTCTGAGTGACTCCGAATGGGCAGGGACCTTGGTACATGCCAACAACCTGTGAAGAATGTCCTATCAGACCCGTGAGGGAGTGGTCAGTGGTGGGAGCTGGCTGAGGAGGGAGTGTGTGTGTGTGTGTGTGTGTGTGTGTGTGAGCACCCATGTACGCACAGGTAAGGAGTGACAGAGAATGTCCCCCACTATCTTTGGGTGGTCATGCTTGGCCATGAAAGGGGTGCAGACTGTTTTTAGGGTGTGCTGTAAGGCCATGAGGGGGAGGGAGGGCCAGAGGGAGAGAAAGAAGCAGGCTCCCCACTGAGCAGGGAGCCTGATGTGGGGCTCGATCCTAAAACCCTGGGATCATGACCCAAGCTGGAGGCAGATGCTTAACCGACTTAGCCAGTCAGGCGCCCCCAGAATTTATTTTAGGATTCTAGTTTCCTTTATTTGTGGGAGTCCAGCAGACTCAGTGAGGTGGCACCCATATCATTGTAAACTCTTCGCTTAGTGTTTCAGTTCTGGAAGCTTCTGCCCTGAGAATCTTATCTTGCTGCCTCCTGTATGTTGTCTCCAATGGAAGTACATGTGCACCTTGAGTTTCCAAGTGTTACACCTACAGGCAAAGCCGGCCCACTCTGCCCTGCTCCTGAAGCCCTGTCCCACACACTCTCTGTCAGGTCCACACAGAGATGGTGGCATCTGTGGTCCACACAGGGGCCTTCGGCCACCAAGGAGGTACCTCTCCAGGAAGTGGTCTGGGGGGATCCTGAGGGGATCCTATTCTACTAAGCGTCATGGCTTGGGCAGGCCTCAGCATCTCAGAGCCTTTCTTGGCGCTCACAGGTCAAGTAGGAATAAATTGTATCTGTACAGTACTCGGCTTTTATGAGGCTCAAATGGAATCCCCCCCCCCCATTTGTAGCCTTTGCTGGTTCACGTGTGTAAATACTCCCCTGGGGGCTGATCCCATGCCACTGGAAGAAATGTGCACAATTGGCTTCTGCAAGCCCCTCAGACCCAGCTTTGCAGTTTTCACCTATGAGCTTTAAACTGCATCTGAAACAGACTTGACAGGCCCAAGAGAGAGTCATGGGGACAGCAAGACAGAGAGAAACAAATGCAGAGATAAACCACACAGGAAGAAAGAGAGAGAAAGGCTGGCGGAGAGAGAGAGAGGAGACACATGACTTCTCTTTAAAGTCTGGGGAACTCTGCAGGCTGAGGAATGGCCTTATTCAAGTCTTATGCAGCCTGTGTCAGAGAACTTGCCCGAAGGGAGGCTGGACCAGTGGTGCCAGGACCCTAGAAGGAGCCCACCGTCCCTCCGTTCAGCCTGTCTGTGACCTTCCACCACAACAGAGAAAGCCCAGAAGAATCTTCTTGTTCCTGCTGGCTCACACTGCTCATGTTTCTTTGTGCATGCCGTTCGCTGCTTCTAAATCCCACCTGCCTTTTCTAGAGCTTGGCTCCAGTCCCACGCCCTGCAGGAAGCTGCCTGCCCGTGTGCCCAGCAAGGCCCTCGCACCCAATGGAATTTTATGTACCCCTTGCTTATTCCCCCAGGGCAGGCCCAGACTGGATATCTTCCAGACTCCTTGGGGTCTCGCCTAGACAAATCTTCATCCATCAAAATCCTAATCAATTGACTGACCCAAGACTTTCAGTGATAGTTGGGAAGACTCCAATTCATTAATTGGACAACCCGTACATGAGCACCTACTATGTGCTAAGGAGCTGGGAGCAATGTGGACCAAAGTGCACAGTGACATCCATAGGGGGAGCCCAGAGCATCACGGGACCACAGCCCAGGGGGCATTGAACACTGCTTGAAGTGTGGAGATGGCTGCAGGGAAGGCTTCTCAGAGGAGGCAGTCTCTAAGGTGAGGGAGGAAGAGGCATCATTAGGTGGAGGATAAGAGAGTTGGGGAAGCTGGGCAAAGGGAGCAAAATGGGAGAGAATCTGATATTCTAGGAATGGAGGTGGTTCAGCAGACTTGACAGACCATGAGGGTGTGGGAGAGACTGGGATGAAGCAGGGTGCAAGTCTGTAAGAGCTACTGATTCCCTGGTGCATGTGTCCAAGGAGCAGGGAAATGGTGTTTAGAAATTAAAAAAAAAAAAAAAAAGATTGGAGGTCAGGTGAGATCGAGGGAGGAAGCAACCTCCAAGGTGAGATATGAGGAAATGAGCTGGAGAACTAGCAGGAGAGACAGATGAGACAGCGAGATCCTGGACAACCGTGTGTCCGCACCCTCGACTCAAAACAGAACCTATCCTGCATGGGGCTCTTTTCTATAATGGCCAGAGAGGACTGGTGATGAGGAAAGATCTAACAGAGATGAGGACACATGGATAGCTTGGGGGAAAAGCATTCCAAGCAGAAGGAACAGAAAGGGCAAAGGCCTCATGCTGGAAGCCAGGAGGTGGGAGAGGGTCCCGAGGTTGGAGAGGCCAGCTGGGGTCCAGTTAGCTTCATCAGCCGTGGTGTGTTTTCTCCAAGAGCCGTGGGAGGGTTTTCAGCACAGTGACTGTGCTCAGCAGCCTGGTGCCACCTCTCCATTCTTTGGTCCCCAGGCCAAAGCAGCATGGAGAGTGAACAGAGAGTGCCCCGAAAAGGCCGCAAGCTGGGCTCTAGCCGCCGGCGGCAGATGCGAGAACCAGCTGATGGCCAGGATGCCCCCGTGGCTTCAGAGCCAGAGCCCTTGTCCTCAGAGGTGGCCGTGGAGCTGCAGCGTTTCTTCCAGGACTGTGGTGCCAAGGAGAGGGGCTTTGTCACCCGCGAGGACCTGGCGGTGAGTCCACATCCCTAGCTCACCCTCTGAATCCCTTTTCTGTAGCCTCCTGAGACTTCCTATCCCAGGAAAGCAGGGCAGGCCTGCTCTTTCCCCTTTCTCTCATCTAAAATTTGCTCTCAAAGAGGAACTCTCATGCACTGTTGGTGGGAATGTGAATTAGTGCAGCCACAGTGGCAGATGGTATAGAAGTTTCTCAAAAATTTTGAAATAGAAATAGCATATAATCCAATAATTCCTCTATGGGTATTTACCCAAAGAAAACAAAATACTAATTCAAAAAGATATCTGCATCCCTATGTTCGTTACTTATAGTATCCAAGATATGGAAGCAGCCTAGTGTCCCTTGATAAATGAATGAATAAGGAAGAAGTCACACACACACACACACACACACACACACACACACACACGCCACTGGAATATTACTCAGCCACAAAAAGAATGAGATCTTCTTATTTGTAACAACATGGATGGACCTAGAGGGTATCATGCTACACGCAATAAGTCAGACAGAGAGACAATACTCTATGATTTCACTTAGATGGAGAATCAAAGAACAAAACAAATGAACAAACAAAAAGCAGAATACAGAGAACAAACTGGTGGTTGCCAGAGGGGAGGCAAGTGGAAGGACAGGTGAAATGGGTGAAGGGAAGAGGGGGATACAGGCTTCTGGCTATGGGATGAATGAGTCATGGGGATGAAAGGTACAGCATGACAGACATAGTCAAGGGTATTGTAATAGTGCTGTATGGTGGTGGCTACACTTGTGCCGAACACAGCATAATATATAGCCTTGTCCAATCACTATGTTGTACATCTGGAACTAATGTAACATTATGTGCCAACTATACTTCAATTAAAAATTAATTACTTAATTAATTAGGGGTGCCTGGGTGGCTCAGTTGGTTAAGCCTCCAACTCTTGGTTTCAGCTCAGGTCATGATTTCTTGGTCATGAGATCGAGTTCCACGTCAGGCTCTGTGCTGACCATGCAGCCTGCATAAGACTCTCCCTCTCTCTGCTCCCTCACTCTCTTCCCCTCCCTAAAAAAACTCCGATTAATTAATTAATTAGTTAAACAGAATACAAAGATCAGTGGGCAAAAAGCATAGTTTGTATGCAAAGAAATGTTCTCTGTGCTAGTTGACAAGCACATGTATTTTCTGAAGCAAATAAATAAATATGATAAAATTTGTGCTCAGAAAAGGTGAGGAATTTGTTTATATTAATATGTAAATGGATGATCAGACATTATGCATTCCCATCTTTCAGAAAGATTTGCACTTAACAAAGGAAAGGACCTCACACCAGAGAAGGAACTTGCAAGTGACATAATTTTAGGCCCATTGAGCAGAGAAGTTTATCCCGGGGAGCAGAGTCCTACAAACCATGTCAATGACTATAAACGTCAGTGACACATGAGATTGGCCATGGTTGTGTGTCCCACCCAGGAAGGAGTCTTAGGCTCTGGCCTAGACCAGTGTTGACTGATATTTGGTTTTTCCTCATTCTCTGCAGAGCGGCCTATGTGGGTTGCTGGAATCTCACTGGGCCTACTGTCTCCTCTGGATACTTTTCCATGCTCCAGACCTTTTCCTGCCCCTGTCAAAACTGACTTTGCCTGTGTTCTATCCTCAGGGCCATAACAAAGTACATGCAAACGGCTGATACTGAAATTGAATTTTCAGGGGCGCTTGACTGGCTCAGTCAGTAGAGCATGTGACTCTTGATCTCAGGGGTCATGAGTTCAAGTCCAACGTTGGGCATAGAGATTACTGAAAGAAAGAGAGAAAGGAAAGAAAGAAAGAAAGAAAGAAAGAAAGAAAGAAAGAAAGAAAGAAAGAAAGGCTTTCTCAGGGTAGCCTTTACCAACTCCCTCAAATAAGTCAGTTTCTCTCTCTCTCTCTCTCTATATATATATATACATATATATGTATATATAGATAGATAGATATAGATGTAGATATAGATATAGATAATTTTCAAAAGGATAAAAAAGTAAATTAAAAATCAAGTAAATAGGTGCCTGAGTGGCCCAGTTGGTTGAGCGGCTGCCTTCAGCTCAGGTCATGATCATAGAGTTCCAGGATCGAGTCTCACGTCTGGCTCTCTGCCTAGTAGGGAGTCAGCTTCTCCTTCTGCCCCTCTCCCACTCGTGCTTACTCTCTCTCTCTCTCTCTCTCTCTCTCTCTCTCTCTCTCAAATAAATGAATAAAATCTTTTTTAAAAAAATCAAGCAAGGGCAGCCGCGGTGGCGCAGTGGTTTAGCGCCGCCTGCAGCCTGGGGTGTGATCCTGGAGACCCAGGATCGAGTCCCACATTGGACTCCTTGCATGGAGCCTGCTTCTCCCTCTGCCTGTGTCTCTGCCTCTCTCTCTCTCTCTCTCTCTCTCTCTCTCTGTGTGTATCTGTCATGAATAAATAAATAAAATCTTTTAAAAAAATCAAGCAAATAAAAAACAGCACTCACCAAAGTTCTTATCTAGTTAATTATTATTACTAATTAATGAAGGAACCACTAAGATGTTATGATTGGCTCAAAAGCACATGAGAAGCCAGTATACAGTATTTAAAGGCAATTTGACAGGAGAGTGTTAGGATAAGATTGCTGAGTTCAATTTTTAAAATGGCTGATGTCCAACAGGCCGTAAATCTTTGGGGTTAGTTGTTCTACAAGACAAAAATTATTTTCATCTCTCCCGGGCAAAAATCTGCAAGTTAACAAGTAACTGCAGCAAGTCTGGGACTTTTTAATTAAAGATAAACAATGAGATGGACTGAGTACATTCCTCTAGTCTAGACAATGCTTGAAGGGACGTGTTCTCTACCTTTTGGCCTGGTTTCCAAGTTTCCAGTTATTCAGATAATTTTCTGTGATGATAAATAATCTCCCAAGTCTATTCCCAATATAAAAAAAAAAAACCTCTCATTAGGTTTCCACCTATTCCCATCCATGCAGCCAGGGTATGAATGACACATGGGCATGGGTTTGCTCTGCAAATACACACTTTGAAAATATTAAGCCATTTTCGCTTCTGTCCAGATGTTTTCACACAGAACCTGAGATTTAAAACCTCTCTTATTTGCTCTTCTACCTAGAGTGAATCTCTGTCCCAGTTTGCCAGGGGCTGGAAGGATGCCTGGGATGTGGGACTTCTAGTGTCAAAACTGGGAATGTCTGGCGCAGCCTGGGTCAAGCTGGCCACCCAATTTCTATGCTCAGGCCAGGAAACTAAACCCAGGACTCTTTTTTCACCAGCTGTCACCTGCAGCCCCTATAAGTGCAAGGAGTTTCCTTTCTTGAAATTCCCAATTTTTCTAAGGTCCCTCTCCAGCCCAGAAGTGGCTTTCCTTATCAACTGGTTCCAGGCCAGTTGCTGGGAGGATTTTGCAAATATTGCTTCCATGGCTGTTCCTTACAGTAGACTTGTCACATATGATTGAGAATTAGTCTCCAACATGACAATCTTTTTTTTTTTTTTTTTTTTTTTTTTTAAGATTTAATTTGTTGGGCAGCCCCGGTGGCTCAGCAGTTTAGTGCTGCCTCAGCCCAGGGCATGATCCTGGAGACCTGGATCGAATCCCATGTCGGGCTCCCTGCATGGGGCCTGTTTCTTCCTCTGCATGTGTTTCTGCCTCTCTCTCTCTCTCTCTCTCTCTCTCTCTCTGCGTCTCTCAGGAGTAAATAAATAAAATCTTAAAAAAAAAAAGATTTAATTTGTTTATTTGACAGACACAGAGAGACACAACACAACCATGAGTAATAGCAGGCAGAGGGAGAAGCAAACTCCCCACAGAGCAGAGAGCCCAATGTGGGGCTCAATCCCAGGACCCTGACCTGAGCCGAAGGCAGATGCTTAACAGACTGAGTCACCCATGTGCCCCCAACATGACACGCTCATTACACAATTGATTCATCCAACTACATCCCAGCAAAAAAGGAGGACAAATTGTTATTGAATCCATGTAAATAACTATATTGCCATGGAAAGTAAGGAGGTTCAGTAAAAGTATCAGTTTCTGAATCAGGAGGGGGTCAATGAGATTCAAATAATATTTAAAATGTTTAATTTTGGGGGCACCTGGGTGGCTCTGTGGTTGAGCGTCTGCCTTTGGCCTAGGTCGTGATCCCAGAGTCCTGGGATCAAGTCCCGCACCAGGATCCCCACAGGGAGCCTGCTTCTCCCTCTGCCTGTGTCTCTGCCTTTCTCTCTGTGTCTCTCATGAATAAATAAATAAAATCTTAAAAAGGAAAGTTTAATTTCAGTTTACAGAAGCTGCAATCTACTAAACTGAAAGTTAGACATGGCTCAAGAAGACAAAAATCTTCCTCATAGATCCATAAAGATAGAATAAAAAATAATACCATCTATATTCCCAACAAATAACCTCCATTCCCTTGAACCATTCATTCAGTTCTACATCATTAATTCCTGATCTGCTGGATCTTGAGTGAGCTGGCTGCTTCTGGACTCAAGAGTCTTAGAAATTATCAGGCTGCCAGCTTGGCTCGCTAATGTCAGCTCGGAATCTTTGTATCCATGTGAAGCATCAGTAGTTCAGAGAACCTGGTACAATCCTTTTCCACGAGGCTTCGGGTCCGTACTTTGCGGCTCATGGCTTTTAACTGAGGTTTCAAGCCAGGGTAGGAAAACAGAAATATTTTTGGTAATGAGACTGAAAAGCTGTGGTTACTTATTACAGTAACTATTAATATCGGAGTAGAAGATGCTAAAATTCTCTGTTGGGATACAGCACGTAACTATTTTGTAGGGTTTGATCAGTGTTTCCTCTGAAGATAAGCACTTATCAAAGATCGGCAAAGGCACTGAGAAATCTCCAGGGCCTTCCTATAAAGCATGCAATTTTTGAAGTCTTTATATGAATTGCATTCTACCTACATAAACTTAGCCTAGGAAAGCCTGAACATCTCTTCTGATTTGATGGTTCTTCCCATGATGTCCTTTTTTTTCAACCCAAACCATATATATACA